CCCCAAAACCCCAAAACCCCAAAACCCCAACTAGTAAAAATTGTTGAATTTCATCAATTTGTAATCTAAATAATTGCAAAATTAAAAATGGCAAATTTTGCTGATAAATTTTCTGTCAAAAATATACTATCCAAAATTTTAGGAAGTAACGATCCTAATAAAATAGTCGAAAACTATCTTAAAATTGAACCCAAAACACAAATATTGACAGATAAAAGATGGGGGTAATTTAAGTTCATGATAGTCTATTAGTCTTTGATTAATGCATTTGCCAAGGTCTGCTCTGATCAGAATGGAGTAAGTTTTGAATCTTTTATTTTAGCTATAGGATTTGTCAATTGATAAATTAGATTAGTTAAAGCACTTAGCTGACAAGAAATGTCTGCTTGATTATTTGATGTTGATGCTGGACTCAAAGATTGCTCTTTAAAATAGATATTTACTGGCATTTGTTGAAGAACTTGAATTCTCCTAGAGGTTAGCTTAAGATGATTAATAAAGAGATGACGAAGAAGAAATAACTGAGAAGATGCTTGAGGATTAATTTAATTATGGAACACAGTTGGCTAGAGTAGCTAGCACAGGCACAGAGTATTATTACATGAAAAAGACAAAGAAATACATCTCAGACTATTACCCTACATTTCTACATAAGATAAAAGTAGAATTTGAGGCGATCGATGAAAATGCTACTAAAAACATGGATGAATTAGGAAGTGTTGCTGTTGATTTAACTCTATAGATGCTCAAACTCAAGATTTATGTGGCTTAAGATGGATTCCACATTGGTAAATTGAATGTCTTTAAGACAGAAGATTTTCTAAAAATTGAAAAGAAAGTTAATGAAGAAATTTAAGAATTGAGAAATTATCCTATTACAGAGAAGCCTAAAGTTGAAAAACCAGATTTCAGTATCATCAATATTTGATTGAGTCATAAGGTTATTTTATTTGTTTAGAAATTCTATACTTGAAGCATGGGGTTTTGGGGTTTTGGGGTTTTGGGG